AAACTCTGACAGTGCGGCTGTATTGTCACTGTCATTGGTGTCCGCTTCGTGTCCAGCACTGTCCTGTGTTTACAGGTGTCAACCATCCCTGGATGTGTTGAAGGGTACTGAGCATCAGAGTTAGATGATTTTAGTTGCAAGGAGCTCGTGCCAACTGGCTAGTTAGTTCATTCACAAAGGAGGAGTTTGTTGTCAGCTCACAGATCTCTTGCAGAATGTCCAACCAGGCCCCTTGGGAGGTGGGACTAGGAAGCTCTGATCATAGAGGCTACACCATTGCCCACATCAGAGACATCTGGTCTCCTGCCAGATTTCGCAGGTCACTGGCGGTAGTCTCTGCATTCAAATCACTGAAAGGAAATGCGATGGGCCAGGCCCAGACACCCCAGCCATTGGCCACTGGCTGTCTTGCAGAGCACCAGCTTCTCCTGGTCCAGTGGCTGGCCTTGTTACCTTAAGGCTGTGCCTTTTGGAGGCCATGAGTAGGGCAGGCATCCTGAAATAAGTCCATGATATCAAGGAATGAACCAAGCGGGAAAAAACAAACTTGGTTTGACTGTAGAAGTTGCACTGCGGTGCATTTCCTCTCAGGCTTGACTAGCTGTTGCTTTGTGCCTTATTACCATGTAACATGGCTTTCTTCATAACATTACTATGTCAGGCTAATTCAGTTGTATTTTTCTGTTTCATCCAATCTGACTCACTGATTTTAAGATGTATCATTTTTTCAGCCAGGCATGGTTTACTCATGCCTGTAATCCCAGGACTTTGGGAGACCAAGGAGGAGGATTGCTTGAGCCCAAAAGTTCATGCCAGCCTGGACAAGATAGCGAGATCTTGTCTCTACTACCAAAAAAAAAAAAGCGCCTGTAGTCCCAGCTACTTGGGAGACTGAGACAGAAGGATCTCCTGAGCTCAGGAGGTCGAGGCTGCGATGAGCTGTGATCATGCCACTGCACTGCAGACTGGGCAATAGAGGGAGACCCCGACGCAAAAAAAAGTGCCATTTTTTATGACCCAGCAGAACAGAAGAAAACATTGCCAATACAGCTGTAGCACAAGGCTCACTTATCACTTGGCGATTAAAATTTTATCTTTATCAAAAGAGCTCTTTTAGATCAATGTAGACATTTTCACCCACATCGCTTTTGTGCATATATCAGAAGGAAAACAGAAGTGACATAAATGTGTCACGGCATTTCCAATACTTCCTTGAGACATTTGGACTCAGAGTGACCGATGTCTTTGGTTTTTCTCACTCTGTAGTTCTCTGTGCTAGATTTTCTTCCCAGCCCATGATGCCATCCTGTTAGTTTAAATCCTGGTGCTTCTAGAAAACATGGTTCCAGTTTGGCTTGGCTGATGCAGCATGAATCTCCCGTATTGTGATAAGCATGTTGGCTCCGACTGTGCGCACTGCCGTGGTTAGGCTCTTTGGGCTTTATTCCTTGTCTGTAAAATGGGGAAAACTTAGTATTCAATTCTTAGGTTGTTGTGAGGTTGAAGTAAAATAATATGTGTGACGTATTTAGATCAGTGCCTAGTTCACATAAGTCTTCTTCCGTGATGGCTACTATCGTCGTCATCAGTTTACAGTATTTTGTAGTAGGTATGCATAGTATGGTATGTAGCATATGTACACATATATGTATGTATATATATAACTGCATTTGATCTGCCCAGTCCTGTGAGCTCAACCCTACTATAGAGTTGAGGAAATGGAATTTCAAAGAACACCTACAACTTTCCATTTTCACTGGCTCAAGATGAGCCAGCTTTGAAGTGCAGAGCTGGGAGAACCCTGCCCTCAAGCTCGCTGAGAGAGGGATGTCCGGGATGGGTCAGGCTGCTGAGTCTGACACCCCACTTGGTGCCTTCTGACTCCTTCCCAGAATGGTGTGCCATAGCTAGGCTGCCCTTTGGGTGACACCGACAGCGAGTGTGTGCATGCAAGGCCCTGTGGGGCACGCCTCCTGGGCCTTGGTGGATGTGATGGGCCCTTTGGGCCATGGTGGACGCCAGCATGTACCTCCAAGCCTGACTAGGAAAGCCGGGTTCTTGCCCAGGGACAGGGCCTCATGGGAAGGGGGTCTCAACGCAGGCCACGCTGGCAGCCATCTTCCTTCTGTTAGCACAGACTCACAGGGAATGCCATAGATGATCCTGTGTCCCTTGATTAACATGACATTCCTTAGAGTAGTGTTAATGAGGCTGTTTGGTAAAAGTTAACTCACAGGACTTACCTTGGTCAGTGGTGTTGTGGCCTGCTAGCCTTCACTAAGGGTCACATGGGAACCTTCTGAGAGGTTTATTGTACTCGATTTTATTTGTTTCTAACTGTTTGAAAACAAGAATCTGACAGGAACCAGATGCAGCCTTGGCCCGGGCAGTTTGAATCTTGCTTGGAGAAACGTGTGGAATGTGGGGAGTCAGCCCTTTCCTTTCAAGGGCGCAGACTCCTGTTGCTCTGACTGCTAGTCCCACACTGTTCCTCAGCCTCGCTCAGCATTAATACCCTCCTACTGACCCAGAGGGGATACTGCGCCCCTTACCCCTGGGCTACGAATAGGAGGCTGGGGGAGGGGAACCAGGGAGGCAAGGCAGGTGCCGGAAGAGGGTGCTTGCCGGGCCCTGAAACAGCTGAGAAGTGCAGGTTCCTGGTCCCCACGCCCAGGTTGGTGGTTCTGTTAGGTCTAGATTTGGGCCTTGGAATCTGCTTTTTAAAAGACCCCTAGGTGATGATAAAGATTGGATGGATGAGACTTTTCCTAAAAGATTCCACCTTTCCCAAGTTCAAGTTCAGATGATTATAATGACAATTTAATGATATAAGTAAAATTTGGATGTGTGGGCATGGCTGGGAAGGGCGTTCCTAGAAGTTGGAATGGCATGAACACAGGTACTAAGCAGGAGAGCTTTGGGTGCCTGCAGGGAAAAGTCCATGAGTGAATTCACCTGGAGCGTTAGCTATACAAGAGGGTTGTGGTTGGTTGGTGTGCTTCTCAAAGTGAGAGCCCAAGACTAGCGGATGCACCAGGGCTTTCTTCAAAAAGGCAACTTCTGGGGCCCCACTGCAGACCCTGAAGCAGAAACACCCGGGGTGTAGGAGGAGCGGATGCTCGCTGGACTATGTTAACAAGACATTAATAAGATGCTAGCTGGAGTCTGGGCCCTTGTGGTGGGAGGGAAACAATGGAAGGGTGTCTCACCAAGTTGCCCAGGCTGACCTTGAACCCCTGGGCTCAGGCAGTCCTCTCACCTCCACCTCCCAAAGTGCTAGGATTACAGGCATGACCCACCGTGCCTGGCTGCTTATTGATTTTTTAATTGTCTGGCAGTTTCACAAACCTGGTTTTACCTGTTTCAAAACTCTAAACTAGGGCAGAGGTGGAATGACCACGATGTTGATAAACTGATGTGCCTGAGTACCTTCTGGAAATGAGGCCCTTGCGGTATCTTCCCATGTTTATATATCTTGTTAAATTTGCAAAAATAAGTTCAAGACCAGCCTGGGCAACACAGGGAGACCTCATCCCTACAAAAAAAAAAAAGCCAGGCGTGGTGGCACACACCTGTCATCCCAGTTACTTGGGAGGCTGAGGTGGGAGGATCACTTGAGCCCAGGAGTTTGAGGCTGCAGTGAGTTACGATTGTGCCACTGCACTCTATCCTGGACAACAGAGTGAGATCCTGTCTCAAAAAAAAAAAAAATTGTAAAAATAAAATATTTTAACCATCATCAGTGAAGACTGCCATTTCTTTCTATTTTAACTGCCCCCAATTCACGTATCCCCTTTTGTTGTGACCATGGAGTGGCAGCCGGCATATCTGCAATCTTATTAGGGGTTGGCTGGGATATATTCACGTGCTTTGCAGTCTCTTCTGTGGATAGATATGTTAATGTTGGCCATTTCAGTCTGGGATGGCCTTTAGGAATACTCTGAATATGGTCAGTTCAGAGAATATTGATGAACAGTCACTCCAGAGAAAACGTGAAATGCCCTGAAATCTTACAGCTCAGATATGAAAAAAACTCAACTCAAATTTGACAACAATCCTAAAAATTACATGGTGTTACTAACTCCCACATAGTTGAGAATGTAAAAGAAACTTCTAGCCGGGCTTGGTGGCTCAGTCTGTAATCCCAGCACTTTGGGTGGCTGAGGTGAGTGTATTGCCTGAGCCTGCAGGTTCGAGACCCGCCTGGGCAACTTGGGGAGACCTCGTCTCTACAATAAATAAATAAATAAATAAATTAGCCGGGCGTGGTAGCACGCGCCTGTAATTCCGGCTACTCAGAAGGCGGAGGCGGAAGGATCGCCGGAGCCCAGCAGGTC